AAGCTAGAACTATAATGCCATGGGGGAGATTAACTAAAACTGGTGCACTCAGAATCTGGCTCAACTGTGCATGGTAGCCAATCAGTTTCTAGTTCAGCTCCTTCAATAAAGTTTTCACAATAAATTCTGAAAGCTGATTGGCTTCTATGCAAAGCTGCACCAGATTTTGGACCATGCAGGTTTAGCAAATAACCTCCTTTATGTCAGTCATCTGCCAACGTTTCACTTACCTATTTTTTAGATTCTAAGAATTCCACCAAGATGTCAATGAAACCCATGTCAACCAGAGCCATTACATTTTAAACAATGCCAAATTTTATAGGAATAGCTTAAACTTTGCTGATAGAAGGATTATGACTTTATAGAGAGGTGAAGGTGCTGTATGAGAGAGCATCACAAAAATGGGAATGGCCTGATCTGCCATCATTTAACTCAAGCCACATTAGACATGTAGGATCCAAACATATGAAAATATTGATTCTCTTTTGTGGACAGATTTTTTTATTTCCTGATAATGTATACAATGTTTTTCATTCTCTTTGCAGATAACTATAAAACGAGCTCCATTTGCTTATGTAATACATTTAATTGTCCCAGCATGTTTTTTGGTAATCTTGGATATTTTCAGTATGTTCATTGAGTTGGGGACTGGGGAAAGGCTTGGCTTTAAAGTAACAGTGGTTTTGGGATTCTCTGTGCTTTTGCTGATCCTTAACGACATTCTCCCCAATTCGGATAACCCACCAGTACTAGGTATGTGTTTGCTATCTGCTTTCTCATAACCTTTTGAGTTACTGTGGCCTCTTCAAAAATTCTCAGAAATGTGATTTTGATAACAGGGTTTCTATGCTTAATTGAAGATTCTCCTTGATTGCATTTATTTTTTTTAGAATCTTTATTTTCCTTATTAATAATACACAAGGGAAACACATACAAGACATTGAAAAGGGAACAGGAGGTACATAAGAAATAAATACAACACTCACACTCTATGTTTCAACCTCAACATGTTATGTTTCTGTGAGCATGGTCTGTAGCCCTCCATTGGGGCATGAGGGAGCGCTGTCTGCCAGGGGAAGAGGATAAGGTAAGACAAATTGCTTTTACTCCCCCTAGACCAGGGGTCTCCAAACTTTCTAAACAAAGATCCAGTTTTCTGTCTTTCAGACTTTGAGGGGTCCAGGCTCTGTCCAGTGCGAGTAAAAAAGGGGAGTAAACAATGTACCCTTTCTTGGTATCAGTGGGAAGGAATAGTGCCCCTACATTGGTATCAGTGGCAAGAATAGTGACCTGCCATTGGTGTCAGTGGGAAGAAATAGTGCCTCATTGTTGGTGTCAGTGGCAGGATTAGTGCCTCAAGGGCTGGAATAAAGGCAAGCAGAGGGCCACATCCAGGCCCCCAGGCCGCAGTTTGAAGACCACTGCCCTAGACTAAATGAGCAGGTAACGCAGTGCCATTGAAGCCCCACTGCAAGGGAGAATTTCAGATTTCTTGGGGTTTATCTTTAATAAATGCTCTTTTCCATCTGTTAATTAACCAAGAAAAGAAACGCTCACTAAAACACTAGAATTCTTAATAAAACAAGCATGCAAGGTGCAGTAATCAACGGCAACCAGTTATACATTTTTTTTTCTGTCAACTCTAGGAGTTTTCTGGTTGTTGCTTATGGGTAACTTCTATTCGAATCACTTAAACTGTTTGCAAGCTAACATCTCCAATGTTAAATGTTTTAGAATCACACTGATAATGTATACCTCCTAACAAGAAACACTTGAAGGTACTGGAAGGTCAGAGACAAGTGACTCAAGAAATAATGCAAAAGAAAACAGTAAATGTGACATTCTAATGATGAAAAAGGAGATGTAGAAGATTATAAATTGTTGGTTTATTGTCTGTGGGCTGTCTGATGTCAGCCTTGATCCCTGGAGCATTTCATCTTCTGAGACACCCTTTAGTTTTAGTGATCTTATCTTTCATTACTTCTCCTACAGGTAAATGCAGCAGCAGCAGCATAGCAAAAAAGCAGTACTAACTTGTGTCAGTTGCATTTTAGCCTGCTCAGCCACAGAATTTATTCACAGAGATCTGTAGCTGCCAAATCTAAGGGCTAGAAAGCTGTAATATACAAAACCTTTGTTCTTGGATTTAGTACAAATAAAATAAAATTGACCCAAACTAATATAGTTTCCCAATCGGGTGTGTATTACTTCGTGCTTACTTATTTTGTTTCTGATATAGGTTTAACCCCTTCCCAATGACTGTAGACATACTGTATATGCGGTATCAAGGAAGGCCCAGTTCCCAATCTCCTGGTTGCTCTGAGAGCCTCTGATTAGCTATTACTGGGATAAATCACTGTACAGCCTGCTGCTGTGTTCTTTCTCCTCTTGAATGGAGAAAACAATACATTGTATCTTTTCACCTAGTTAGAAAGAGAAAGAAAGAAAGAAAGAAAGAAAAGAGACTAGGAGGTTTGATCTAGATCAGGGTTAGGGTCAGGGTCAAAGGTCTGGGTTAGTTTATTTTTTTGGGTAAGATTAGTAAAAAAAAACAAATTAAAAAAAAAAATTGTATCAGTTAGTATTAGTGACTTTTAGGTAGAGAAAAAAAGCAAAATGCACAATATTGTTTCTAGGCCCTACTATGGGTACAATAAACAAATAACATAAACACGTGGTATTGCTGCGATTACTGTTTTGTGCCAGTTTTCCTTTGATAACAAAAAAGAATCCGGAGATATCCATTACCATTTGCCACTAAATGAAAGCCCAATGTGTCCTGGAAAAAAAAGTAAAATCAACCTGAATACAATAAGTAGTTGCAATGATATGCACAGTTTTACTAACACATGTTAACCGCATGCCTCCCAGCCACTGTAGATATACGACGGCAGGGCAGCACTCACAGGCAAAACCACGTTTTAAAATGTGTGTTTTGTAAACAAATAGGGGGTTGCGCGAGGCGTGCCGTCGCCCTATCTGTCCCGACGATCACCGCCACAGATGTGAGTCGCCGGGTCACAGCCGTTCCTTAGCGGCTGTTTCCCGGCGATCGGCGGCAAACAGTGACAGACAGCACAGCTGCAGTAGCTGTGCTGTCTGTCACTTCCCTGTCAGCTCGAGGATGAGCTGATCCAGAAAGAACAGTTTCTCTTTCTCGATCAGCCTTGTCCCATCCAGTACACACCCCCGCCCCCTAGTAAAACACTCCCCTCACTCCTATAACCCTTCCCTGCAAAATAAAGTTAACCCCTTCCTCCCCATTGCCATTAGTACAGTGTCAGTGTTTTTTTTTTTTGCATTGATCACTGTATTAGTGTTTTTGGGGATGTCAGTGACCCCAAGTCAGTACCCCCCAATGTCAGAATGTCCGCCGCATTACCGCCATAAGTCGCTGGTCGCTTGCATAAGTCCCTGATCTCCGCCATAATTCGCTGATCGCCGCCATTATTAGTATAAAAAAACCCCTAAAAATCCCAGTATCTTTCCCGCCATTTGTAAACGCTATAACTTTCACGTAAACCAATTAATTTACACGTATTGGGTTTTTTTTTAGCAAAGACATGTCGCAGAGTGCATTTTGGCAGAAATTTATGACTAAATTTGATTTTTGCATTTTCTTTTACTGGACATGTTTTATAGCAAAAAGTCCAAAATATTGTTTTTTTTTCCTCAAAATTGTCAGCCTTTTTTTTTATAGCGCAAAAAATAAAAACCACACAGGCGATCAAATACCACCGAAAAAAAGCTCAATTTGTGGGGAAAAAAAGAATGTAAATTTCATTTATGTACCGTATTGCATGACCGTGCAATTGTCCATTAAACTAGCGCAGCGCTGTATAGCAGAAAAATGGCGTAAATTGCAGTATTTATACCATAGTTTGTAGACGCTATAACTTCCACACAAAGCAATCAATATACACTTATTGGGATTTTTTTTACCAAAAACATGTAGCAGAATACATTTTGGCCTAAATTTATAACCAACTTTGAGTTTATTTTTTATAGCTGAAAGTAAAAAATATTGTTTTTCTGCAAAATTTTGCCTTTTTTTGTTTATAGCATGAAAAATAAAAAGCGCACAGATGATCAAATACCACCAAAAGAAAGCTCTATTTGTGTGAAAAAAAAGGACATAAATTTCGTTTGGGTGCAGCATTGCATGACCGCGCAATTATCAGTTGAATTAGTGCAGCGCCGAGTAGCAAAAAGAGGCCTGGTCATTAAGGGGGGTAAATCCTCTGGAGCTCAAGTGGTTAAAGTTACAAAACTGTGTTCAAGCATTGAGAATTGTTTTACCCTCTGTTATGAAGGGTTAATCATAACATATTTCTAAAACGTCTAGGTTGGCCACTGTGTTGCACCTCCTAAACCACTTATTAGAAAGTCTCACTGATCAATGAGAGGTGCAATAAGCAGAAGGGATCAGAGCTAAGCTAAACCTTTAGAGGAGACATTGGGGTAGATTTACAAAAACTGAATCACTCAGAATGTGGTGCAGCTCTGCTAGGTAGCCAATCAGCTTCTACGTTCAGCTTGTTCAGTTAAGCTTTGACAATAAAACCTGGACGCTGATTGGTTTCTAAGGAGAGCTGCCCCAAAATTTGCACTCTCCAATTTTAGTAAATCTCCCCCATTGGGATAGATTTACTAATACTGGCTCACTCAGAATCTGGTGCAATTGTGTATGGTAGCCAATCAGCTTCTAACTTCAGTTTGTTGAGTTAAGCTTTGACAATAAAACCTGGAAGCTGATTGGTTTCTAAGGAGGGCTACCCCAGATTTTCCACTCTCCAATTTTAGTAAATCTCCCCCACATAGGTTTGTGTTTGTTGTTATCTAGCTCTCTCTCATTCTAGCATTTATTCTCACTAATTGTAACCATTATTTATGTATTTTATCATCATATGCTAAATTACACAGGTTTGTGGCAGGTTACTTTAACAGAAGGCTTTAAGAAAATATCTAGATACAATTAAAATTCTGTGTTGTTTGTACAGGTATCTTCTGCTGTGTGTGTATGGCTGTCATGGTCATCAGTATATAATCGGTTCCATCTCTACTTCATATATGTTAATGTTGCCTGAAACTAAACAAACAGTCCCTCGCTGGATAAAAATCTGGATTATGAAACATCTTGCACGTATTCTTCTCTTCGATGTGAAGTCCCATGATAAAAATAAGCTGACTTCTATTGACACAAAAAAAAGTAAGTATGCAGAACACGAAATGCCAGTCATTGATATTCATTGAAAACCGGAATGCGCATAATACACCAGTTGACCAACCTTTTCAACCATTGTTTGCAATAACAACCATACTTGCATTGCCCGGGCATCTATGTCTTAATAGTATGAAAGCACCCCCGGCTCCCACTTTATAGAGAGGAGGAATGAGGAAGTTCATAATTAGACCTGTGCGATCCCTTTTGTTACAAATTGAAATTCGGACAAAATTTTCATTACTTGCTGTTTCGGATGTATCCAAATTCTTGAATCACGATAGTAACGAATTTGATTGAATCCGAAATACAATGAAACAAATGATTTGAGTTGGAAAATGAATTTGAATTCGAAAAGGAAACATATTACAGAAAATACAGAAATATAGAAAGGTATAAAAGTGAAATAAGATGATTATTCCTACTTAGACTGTTTTATAGAATATAATAGAATAAAAAAAAAAAAGCATAGAATAGAAAATAAAAGAATAGACTAAAATAGAAAAAAATGGACTAGATTAGAATAGAATAAAAATAGAACAAAATAGAACAAATATAGCCGTCTTCTGAAAATTGAATTTCAAAATTCAAATTTCAAATCGATTTGAAAATGACGAATATACAAAACAAATTTGAATAAACGAAGAAAAATTCCAAAAATGAATCATTCTAAAATAACGAACATGACTAAACAAAATTATTAACTTAACAAACAAATAGTGATGGGCCATGATGGCTGGGTGGTGGCTCTATACACTATACACATTTGAAAGCCCCTACACATTATTACCCTCACACCATCCAGAAGAATTAGGCTTGACTTGGTGACAACCCTTTGGGGTCTGTGGGAGATCTCAACTGCTTTGTATGCACCTGCATTTTAGTATTTCAGAAAGCATAAACATTCTTTTAAGAACAATACAAAACTGTGGGTGTATAGCCTTTAATTGTCAAACGTGTAGCCTGCAATTGTCAAATGGCACTCATTACTGTGCCATGCAGTCGAGATAATTGTAGTAAAGGATTGCACCCTGCAGGGTTAAAAGCACCCCAATTACTCAATGCTGCTGCTTGATAAGGTATGCAAGAGACAAGCTAACCTCCTATATCTGCAGTGCAGATGATAGCATGCTATTGATGTAATGCTTTACTAACAATTTTGACTTTTTTTTTTTAAATTGGATCAGACAATCCAGGATTTCATGTCTCTTTGTACCATGCCTTCATTTTTTCTCTGCTACAATAGATGGCTGGATACATTTTCCTTCAGTATTAAGGCGTGCATTGGTGCAGTTGTAGCAAGCAGATAGGCAGATGCTGGTGCAGTGGGGTCATATGTGAGAGCAGTATTGAGAGCAGGATGAAAGGACGGGGGCCATGTGCAGTGATGAGAGCTGGGATTGGCTTGCAGGAGAGGGAGGATGAGGGTCAGCTGTTGTGGTGAGAGTACATGTGGAATCTGGGACAGTGGTGGTAATAGGGGTGGTTGCAGGCGCACTTGTGAGTGGGGCCTCTATGAGGATCTGTCAGATGGAACTCTAGATGCAGGTCTTCAGGTCAGCAGCAGAGGTCAAGCAGGGAAATTGGTGGTGAGAGCTGCCAGATCGGAGATCACAGTGCCTGTAAATCACCGTAGCGGAACTTAAGTATATGGCTGTGTATTCCCGCATGGGGATGCACAGATGTTCCGTGTGGTGGTCACATTTATATCAATTTGACAGCCGGTGGCTGTGGGTGGAGGTTCCCGAACGCAAACAATGTGAGCTTGGGGACCCAGACCCACACGCCTTATATTTTTGGAACCCTTCCTAACTCCTCCTAGTCCACACGTGACATGCCCAGCCGTGTACAGCCCACACCTTAGTGGGTAGTGCTCAGTCAGAAAAGCCTCCCTGCATGTTTTTAGGCCTATAAAGAACCTTGTACCCCTGGCACCTCCCTCCCACCTGACAACCCATCATTGAACCCTCATGAACTCCTGACTCTGAACCTCCTTGCCTCCCAGCACCCCTTTCACTGAACCCCAACACCCCAGACACTGCACCTTTTTTGCCAGCTTGCAACTCATTGTATATTTCACCGCAGCCGCTCCTGTTCCTGCTTCACCTTAACACCTTCACGGGGGCATGAAAAGAGGAGGAGAAACTGAGCCTGAAGTTCCTGGGCTATCTGCCAATATCACCTTCTCTGGCCTCTGGGGTCTTGGGGGGATTTATCAAAACTGGAGAAGAAAGAATATGGAGCTGCTGCTCATGGCAACCAATCACCTTCTATCATCAGCTTATTCAGTTAAGCTTTGAAAATGAAAGATAGAAGGTGATTGGTTGCCATGCCCAGCTGCCCAATTTTAAATAAATTATTTTCAATGCGTTTCCCCTTCCTGGGGGAAGGGATGTTAATGCACACTTCTTGATTGAAAGTTAGAGGGAAGGCAAATACTGAGACACCCACTTCCCCATTACTACAGAATCCTTCCAATGCAGCAGCCATTTTCTAGAAGTCCAACATCCCATTGTATTGTTGAATTACTTTACTTTTCAGGTAAGCATTTTGTTTAAAATACAACCTCACTATTTATCACTTCTCCCTTTATTCAACCTTCTATACTATTATATTGAACATGCAATCTGTATATCAGGCTGGACCTAAAGGGGAAACTAAAACTTCCTATATTTTTCTTTTACAATATAGAACTGCATAATTGATGTTTTATGTCTGGAAGTCAGTTGTAATGTACTTTTGATATTTTTAGTATGGGGAATTACAACAGCTGAAATTTGCAATGTAAGTCATTGGGGTTGATTTACTAAAACAGGAGAGTGCAATATCTGGCGTAGCTGTGCATGGTAGCCAATCAGCTTCTAATTTCAGCTTGTTCAGTTAAGTTTTGACATAAAAATCTGGAAGCTGATTGGTTCCTATGCAGAGCTGTACCAGATTTTGCCCTCTCCAGTTTTAAAAATCAACCCCATTGTAAATATTGTCAGTATGTGTGCTGGTATGTTCATATGTAAGACAAATATTTTTTATTTTATTGGATTTATTTTATTTAAATCTGATTTTTTTTTAAATCACATTTATTTTAATAAAATATTTTTGGAGTACAAATCTATCTAAAGATAGTTTTATATTTAAGATACATTAATAATTTAGTTTATTCAGCATGAAATAGAGCTTAGTTATGTAGCATGAGGCTCTATATTCTGCTATATTTACATTTTCAGCAAACTTATTCATTGAATCCAAGCTCTGCAAGCTGAGATAACATACATTGCATTGATGCATTCACACAATTTCACCGTAACCATGAGATAAAACATGAAATAAAAGAATTTGAGTCATTCTCCAACTAAAGGTGATTAACCTATAAACCTAAAATCGGTTCTGATATTGTTTTACTAACCTGACAGCTTATTATTCTAGAAAGGAAACTTTCATTGGGTTTGCATTAAAGATTTTAACTACCAGCAAGAATGAGTTGGATTCCTTACTTTTAAAGAGCACCTGTCATTTTAGATCCACCATAACAGTGCCTGTTAGCGGGCATCCACTCCCCTGCTGCAGCCACCTCCCTCACCTTGTTGTGTCACTGCAGCATCACCAGCTGTCCCACTAAAGTGAATGGGACTGTCGGTGAGTCAACAGCGGGTCAGCGGAGGAGCCGCTGCGGGGCATAGATGACAGTTGATCTTTAAAAATTATGATTTAAATTAAACCTTTTCACTAGTGATTTAAATCATGATTTCATTCAACTTGATTTGAATCAAATCCACCCTGCCTGAAAGTGACATAATATGCTTCCGGGTCCATTAGTCACAGGAGAGAGATTGGGAAATGGATTTTCCTTGATCACCTTCTGCTTTCACTGCAGGGGCCATTTACTACGGTCCTGGACTCCCCAGAGAAAAGGGAGAGCCCAGGAACCACCATGAGTGCTGCTGCTAAGAGGAGGGGGGGCAGGAAATGTACCTTCAGAGCCCCGTAAAAGTGATCAGGAGGCTTTAGAGTCACAGAGATCAATTTTATCTGAAAGCCCTTTGCCAGCTCTAAAAACTCCCAGCAGCCACGAGCTAGCTTTAACCCTTTGTATACCAGGCTGTTTATAAATGTACCTTGGTTGACAAGGGGTTAGGCTGCTTCTGTATTGCCATAGAGTAATGTTTATGGAGAAGCAGTTCTGGTGTGAACAAAAGCCCATCCCCACATGTTGGTCTACATCAGTGTTTCTCAACTCCAGTCCTCATGGACCCCCAACAGGTCATGTTTTCAGGATTTCCCTCAGATGAAACAGCTGTGGTAATTACTAAGGCAGTGAAACTGATCAAATCACCTGTGCAAAATAATGGAAATCCTGAAAACATGACCTGGTGGGGGTCCATGAGGACTGGAATTGAGAAACACTGGTCTACATGTATGTTTCTCGAATGTGTAAATATAATATAAGTCAGTGTTTCTCAACCTTTTTTTAGTCAAGGCACCCTATAAATTATAACAGTCTTGAGGCACTCATTCTAAAAAAAATATTTTAATAATTTTACATAATGCATCCACATCTACACACGTAGGAGGTGATTTATTCTTTCAGATCAAATATACTTTTGCACACTGGTACTGACTAGTATTCCAATGTTTTTCTTCTCCTTAAGTTTTTTTCCATCACTCAGCTAATGTGACCCAAACCCTGACGGAGAGGGTCAAACAAGGATGCTGTGCAGACGACCAACATCCTCCTTATCAACTGATGATGTCATTGGTTGTTGGGGTGCAGGTGGCTAGAAGCTCGTAATGGTGCAATCCGTGGCTTTGTGTAACTTAAAGGCAGGCTTGATCCACCTCTGGCTTGTACACAATTTTTGGGCAATTTTTGGCACTTTGCCAAGACACCCTGAAGAAACCTCAAGGCATCCCAGTTGCCTGGGAACTCTGGTTGAAAAAGGCTGAAATAATGTAAAGAGCATGTCCTATAGCTTTGTTGCCTCTAGAAGAAGACAACTCCAGTTACAGAATATCCATATTCCTCTTTTGTAGGTACTGCTGTTCAAAAGAGATCTGACACAAACTTGGCTATGGAGATTAGGAATCAGGACTCACAAAGAGAAACAAATGTCCCCATGGAGGTGAAGCTGCTGAAAAAGCTTCTGGTAGAAGTTCTAAAGATGCGACAAGAATTAATTATCTCCAAGAACCAGGACAATGTAAAATCAGACTGGCATTTTGCAGCAGTTGTGGTGGACCGGCTTGTCTTAATCATCTATTTAATCATTGTTATAGCAATGTTTGCAGTGGTCATAAAAGTCTGGTCTACATGACAAACCTGCGCAAGAGAACTCGATTTTTTTCATTTAAGCTGCTAATGTGTTTAAATTCTGCAAATATGATATAAAATAATCTGTTTAAAGCAGAAGTACATACACAGTCAAATTGACCTCAATCCATTCATGAATCCTCATTTTGCATAAATCAGCATGTTTAACCTCCCTGGCGGTATGATTATTTTTAGTGCTGAAAGCGGTACCATTTTTTTGCATGGAAATATGTAGTTTTTTATTGTAGGCTGTAATTTTTAGGAATAACTCACTGAAATCTGTCCGAACAAGAGTCTAGTAAACATCCCGGGTTTGATAAAACTTGAAACACGAAATCATAAATTATAATTTAATTAATAATCATAAAAAAAAAAATATAATAATAATAAATTTAATTCAATAATATAATCAAACCAAAAACACTGACATTTGAAATACAGAGGCAAATTCGCACATCGCTGAGCAAAGTCGCAAAATCGTTTTCAGTGTCTGATGACGAATTTCCCCACAAATCATTATCACTCAATTCTGCAAGTGGTTCTGATTTACTATCACTGTTCTCTAGCCGGTCTAAAACCGCTTTTGACCTAAAGGGACGCTTTTTGGACGCCATGGACTTTTCTAAGTTTCCAGGCAGAAAGATCAGTCAAAATGCAGGCAGGGCACAGGACAAAGCAGTAGGAACTAAATATATGTGAAATTCATTGAAACAGCAATGTTTTACTATATAATAATAATTTAAAAAAAAATGACATTTTTTAAAAATTTCAAATTTGCCGCCGGTTCCGGTGCCCGTACGTCCCGACGTCACAGGGACCAGAACACGGAAGCCGGATGCCGGTATCGGCCGGAGGAGATGGCCGGGGATGCTGCAGGGGACACATCGCGGGAGCGAAGGACAAGGTAAGCGCTGCAGGGACTCCCTGAGCAACGCCGCATGGTAAGCCCGAGTTTAGCTCGGGGTTACCGCTCTTGGTACTGAAACTTTACCCCGAGCTACACTCGGGAATATCGCCAGGGAGGTTAAAATGTGTAAAACTGTCACATCCCAACTGTCAGCAAATAGATCTATGTTGTTTACCAACACAGATATTGCTCCTGAGCTTGCTCCGACAATCAGTGGGTTCCTACTGTGAATCAGTGGCCTGGACAGGCTGATCGGCATATCAGGGTGGCAGTGCGGGTAAGTGGGCACGTGCTCCCTATCCGGAAAAGCATAATTACTTATATAGATGTGATTTTGCACAGCCGTCCTCCACACAAGCAGTAAAGCTACAGTATGCGGTCAGAAACTGGTTTCTACTTGACCCCTTGATGATATTACCATGCCAGTCCTCTGCCATATTTGAGATATATGCTTTCCTATTTCATTGAAATCATTGGTTCATTTTTAAAACCTGGATAGAGGAGATACAGGATGAACCGACAGCTCCAGAGACTGGTGGGCAACTCTACAAGGCAAAGCTGCATTGTCAAGTGAAGTCTTACAGTTTTGGCTACCTTAATACATTCATTGCATACATTTAAAGTTAAACAATTACATTTGTTTAAAGCTGAACTTCAGGCACACAGCAAATTACCTGGTAAAATACACATTAAAATTTTTAATAACTCTTCCTCTGAGGTCCTCTGAATATGTCTTTGGATTGGGCCATATTGTACTAAAACAATACTCTGCAAACAGCAGAGGAAAAAAACAGTGCAATATATAAATATTACCTAAATGATGTTTAATGAATATGTCAACTCAACATTTCATATTTCTGCTATACCATGTACTTGTATGAAAAATATCCTGTTCTCTTTGTATTGCTTCCTTTGTGTGAAATCCCTGGTGTTCCTCCCAGTCCTCTGTTTTCCTATTAAAAACTGACCACACTAGACATGAGCATTCTCAGTGCTGTGGTTGTACTGGGAGCTAATGCAATGATCAAGCTTGTGCTGACATGCCCCCTCTGCACAGCCATTCACTGGAAAGGTCAGTGTGATCTGTGATCAAAGTGTATGTGATCAAAATTTATAATGTTTTTATATTCATACATACATGTTTTGAATTTCATTTCTATTTTAAAATAAATAGGTTGTTTCGCTGTATAAGGTGAGGGTTTACATATTTTTTAAAGTTAAGTAAATGGTATTAAAATGATATGCACATTTCAATCCGCAGCTTTGTGTGATTTTGTCAAATTTCAGAAATGTCCATTTCTTTTAACCACTTGCCTACTGGGCACTTCTACCCCCTTCCTGCCCAGGCCAATTTTCAGCTTTCATCGCTGTCGCAATTTGAATGACAATTGCGCGGTCATGCAACACTGTACCCATATGAAATGTTATCATTTTTTTAGACAGATAGAGCTTTCTTTTGGTGGTATTTAGTCACCTCTGGGTTTTTTATTTTTTGCTAAACAAACCAAAAACCACTGAAATTTTTGGGGAAAAAAAAAAACGTTTTTTCTTAGTTTTTGTTATAAAATTTTGTAAATAACTGATTTTTTTCCTTCACTGATGTGCGCTAATGAGGCTGCAGTGATGGGCACTGATAGGCTGCGCTAATGGACACTGATCGGTGGCACTGATGGGCACTGATGAGGAGGCACTGGTAGGTGGCACTGATGGGCATTGACAGGCATCACTGATGGGCACTGAAAGGCAGCACTCATATATGGCACTGATAGGCGGCACTGTTAGGTGGCACTGATAGGCGGTACTGACTGACACTGATAGGCGGCACTGACTGGCACTGTTAGGTGGCACTGACTGGCACTGTTAGGTGGCACTGATAGGCAGCACTGATGCACACTGATAGTCGGCACTGACTGACACTGATAGGCGACACTGACTGGCACTAATAGGTGGCACTGATTGGCAATACTGATAGGTGGTACTGACTGGCATTGATAGGTGACACTGAAAGGTAGCTCAGATGGACACTGATATGTGGCATTGATGTGCACTGGTAGGCACTGATATGCGGCATTGATGTGGCACTGATGGGCACTGGCACGTGGCACTGATGAGCACTGACAGCTGGCACTGATGGGCACTGGCAGGTGGCACTGCTGGGGCTACACTGATCATCAGGGCACACTGATCATCAGTGCTTTGATGATCAGTGTACATGTCCCCTCCGAGGAATGCCGATTACCGGCTCTCCTCTCCTCTCGAGCTGTCAGCGTGACAGCTCGAGAGGAAAGAAATGGCAATAACCGGCATTTCCCTGTTTACATGTGATCAGCTGTGATTGGACACAGCTGATCACATGACCGAGCCAAAATCTTTGGCTCTTTCCATTGATCCGCTGTGTCTAAGGGACACAGCGCACCGCCAATCGCAGCGCTGCATGCTCCCGGAGCCGCGCGTGCACGGCTAGAATGGGATCACGTCATATGATGTCGTCCCAGAACGAGAGAACCACCTTGCGCCCGTCATTGTACTATATGGCGGGCGGAAGGTGGTTAAAGAAGACATCCGGGGCATTCTGTGCTCAGTGGTCCTAGGAAATTTAATTTTCTTTTATTTATTTATTTTTATTTAAATATTTATTAATTTTTCAGATAAACAAGTTATACAAACATACTCATTAAAACCTGAGCATATTATCAAAGCATTTATCGTTTCATCCCTTTCACCTCTCCCCATCCCCCTACCTATATACCCCCCCCCCCCCCCCATCCAATCCCTGACCTCTTCTGCTCTGCATTTTCCTGTTCAGTTCTGGAGATCATAATTCCTAAAAAAAAAAAAAATGTGTTTCCATATTATTCTATGTTAATCCCCCATAACCTCTAAGGCTAGCCTTGACTTTTTGAATTCCTCCCATTTGTTCCATCTTGTATGGTGACGCTCCATCTTATCTTCATTCAAATGATAAAGTTCCTCCAATTTACATATTTGATCCACCCTATCCACCCAGTCTTTTATTTTCTGCACCTCCTGTTTCCTCCAATACTTGGGTATCAGTCCCTTTGCTGCATTCAAATAGTACAATAAACCAGATTCTTTGTATTTTTTAACTGAAAGCTTAGTACTATGAAAAAGGCAAATCTCTGGGTCTACTAGAATATCAACCTCTGTAATTTTCTGAATCAAGCTTACTATTTTCCCCCAATACTCTTGTATTTTAGAACAATCCCACCATATGTCATACATTGTGCCTGTACCTCCACATCCACGCCAACATAAAGGTGAATTATTTCCACTCAATCTGTGTGCCACACTCGGTGTGATATACCATCTTGCCAAACACTTATAATTCATTTCTACCTCCTGCATATTTATATTTCTGTGAATGATTCTATACATTTTCCTCTGTTTTTCCGCATCTATTGTTACTCCTATTTTTTTCCCCATTTTTCTATATATGGAGGACTTATATCTGCATTTATTTCAGTGAGAATCTTAAATATTTTAGAGGTTCCGTGTTTCCCATCTCCCCGTGTACCTAATAAGTGCTCAAAAGGATTCCAATCCTCTCTTTTTCTTGAAGGCTTTGCAAGCTTTCCTATAAAGTGTTTAAATTGAAAATAACGCCACTCATCCACTCTCATAAAAACTTCTTTTTTTTTCCAATTCCTTAAGTGATCCTATTTCCTCCCCCACCATTATATCCCTTAATTGTGCATCTTCCTTCTTAATCCACTTCCCTGTGATACCTTCTTTACCTGGGGGGAAAAACTCTGTGGACTTTAAGGGCATTAACAATGAATTAAATTCCCATCCAATCTGTTTTGTAAAACATCCCAAACTCTTAAAACATTAAATGTGAACAAACTTGTACTGTCTGCTAATCCTCTGTATTGTGGATGTAACCATACAATTCCACTTAATTTAGTATTACTTAGTATATTTTCTATTTTAACCCAGCTTTTCCCCTCTGCATTATATGTCCAGTCAAAAAATTCTCCCAGCGTACGGAGTCTAAGTCCCAGGGTGCTTGTTCACCAGGGCCCCTGATGGTGGGGATGGACTTGGAGCTCCCTGAGACCAGGTCGTGACTACTGGGTGCGTCCGTCAGTGGTAGTAGTATGCGCAAGGGGCTCCCACGGGGAAGAGTCCTGATGTGAGGAGGTCAGAAGACCCCACTGCACGGGATGGATGGATGGATGAGCAAGGTCAGACGGGCCGGGTCGGTAACAGAGAGGGCGGCAAGGTACAAGGCAGCAGGCATAGAATGGTCGGGTAACACGCCAGGTCAGCAACAGCAGGTCAAATCCAATAGGGGGCATTCAGGAGAGAGGTCAGGCAAAGCAAGGGTCAGAATAGGAGAAAACAGCAAGGTCAGGTACAATCCGGGTCAATAACTTACAGGGTACAGGTTCACAGGATACAGGATGCAGGAAAGACCAGAAGGCACTGAATGACAGCTCAGGGCCATTTAAATATCCCGCCCTGCGCTGCCATTGGTGCCCAGCGGGCGGCCGCGGCTTCTACTGCACATGCGCGAACTCGAACGCCGCGGCCGGCCCGGACCTAGTGCCCGTGTCCCTGCACAGGGCGGTGCACTGCGCCTGCGCCGGGACCATCGCGGCAGGGATCGAGGAGATCCCTGACATGGCCCCCCCCCCTACGGGCAGCCTCCGGATGCCCACCCGATCTCTCCACCACTGGTGATCGTGAAAGAACCTCCGGACAAGTCTGGGTGCATGGACATTATGGGCTGGTTCCCAAGAATTGTCCTCAGGACCATAGCCCTTCCATTTGATAAGGAATTGGGTCTGGCCTCCCCTCCTTCGACACTTCAGGATTGTTTCAACCTCAAACTCTTCTTCTCCTTCGACCGTTACCGCTTCCGGGGGTCTAGATTCCCGGTCAGGGAAGGCATCTGGGACCACTGGCTTCAGCAGGGACACATGAAAGACCGGGTGGATCTTGAGCGTGTCAGGGAGGGCGAGTTCGTAGGCTACTTCGTTAACCATCCGTTTAATGCAGAAGGGGCCTATAAATTTGGGGTCCCAATTTCTTTGACGGGCAAAGCATCTTTAGATTGGACGTCGCCAGCCAAACCTTCTCCCCAGGCCGCAATACCAGATCTCCTCTCCGTTTCCTGTTGAATGCTTTCCTGTAGTCTTCCTGGGCCCGACTGATGGCCACTTGAAAGCTTCTTATTGTTCGCTGAGCGAAAGAACGTTACCACATCTTGTGTTGCTGGTACTGGGCATTCCGACACAAATCCGGGAGGAAGACTGGGTGAAAGCCATAGTTGGCAAAGAACGGGGACTGCCCTGTTGCTGATGGCGGGCTGTTGTTATACGCAAATTCCGCTAAGGAAGAAGTGGCAGCCAGTCATCTTGAGTAAACTTAAGTATTGCTCCAAGGTCTGATTGGTCCTTTCGGTTTGACCGTTAGTTTGAGGGTGGAACGCAGAGGAGAGAGATAATTTGATGTCCAGGGCTTTGCACAGTGCCCTCCAGAATCTGGACGTGAACTGGACCCCTCGGTCCGAGACAATGTCTTCGGGGACCCCATGCAACCTGACTACCTCACGAATGAAGAAGACTCGCGCGGTCTCGGCCGACGAGGGGGTTTTCTTCAACGGGATGAAGTGGGCCATCTTGGACAAGCGGTCCACGACTACCAGGATTGCCGTGTGGTCTCGGGATGGCGGAAGCTCGACTATAAAGTCTAGTGAGATCTTTTGCCAAGGCCGTTCAGGAATCTATGAGGTAAGGGTCGTAGCAGACCCCAAACCTTGTTTCTTGATGGCTTGTTCTTCTGGTAGGTGACACAGGACCTGACATAGCCCTTACAATCCTAGTAGCCATGTCTGGCCACCAGAATGAGCGTCGGAGAAGTTCCTGGGTCTTTTCTGGGCCAAAGTGCCCCGCCATTGGGTGGTCGTGGCAATGCCCCAAGACCAAGGTTCGGGCTTCTTCCTGGCACCACCAATTCGGTCTTCCCTCCATAGGAGTCCCCCCCTTGTTTCGGAGCGGGCCCTCCGCCTGGGGTAGAGAAGTTTGTGGATGCCTCCATTAGCCTGGAACGAAGGTCCGACTGAAGGACCAAGAAGTTACCCGAGGACAGGATGGTGTCAGGTACTGGGGTCTCCTTGGCGTCTTCGTACATCCGTGATAACGCATCCGGCTTAGTGTTCTTTGATCCCGGCCGGTACGTAATGTGGAAGTTGAATCTCGAAAAGAATAGTGCCCATCTCGCCTGTCGCGTGCGTAGACGCTTGGCGGTTCTCAGATACTCTAAGTTCTTGTGGTCAGTAAATATTAAGATGGGGTGCACCGCACCTTCCAGCAGGTACCTCCATTCCTCTAACATGCCGTTTTGATCGCTAGTAGCTCTCGATCACCGATATCATAGTTCCTCTCCGCTGGGGTCAGCCTTCCGTGAGAAGAACGCTTACAGGGTGGAGCAGTTCTTTTGGTGCCTTTTTCGTTGGGAGAGGATGGAGCCTACCGCATTCTCCGATGCATCTACCTCCAAGATATAGGGCAGAGCGGCTGGCGTCTGGGTGACCCAAAATGGGTGCCGAAGTGAACAGCTTCTTTAATGACTTCGAAAGCTCCCTGCGCTTCTGGTGTCCATCTGAATCGGGTTCCCAGCTTGGTTAGCTGAGTAATGGGGGAGACCAGACCCGAGAAGTTCTTGATGAACTTCCGGTAAAAATTTGCAAAGCCGATGAATCGTTGGACGCCTTTCCTGTCTGTGGGTTCAGGCCAATCCAGTATTGCAGCGACCTTCTGGGGATCCATCGCGACCCCCGCGGTGGAGATAAATCAGGCCCAAGAAGGCAATGCTGGATTGTTCAAAACTCACATTTTTCTCTGCCTTGGCGTACAACCCATGCTGCCGCAAAACCGCCCCAATACTTTTGCTACATGTATTCTCTGTGTTCCCCCAAAGACGGGGAGAAAATCAGAATGTCGTCTAAATAAACGATCACAAAGACATCCAGAAAGTCCCTAAAAATATCATTTACAAAGTGTTGAAAAGTGGACGGAGCATTGCACAACCCGAACGGCATGACCAGATATTCAAAAATGACCGAAGCGGGTGCGGAAGGCCGTCTTCCACTCGTCCCCCTCCCTTATGCGAATCAAGTTGT